CGCGTAAGTCTATGGCTCTTCTGATCTTCTCTACAGCCCCACTAACGCAGCATAGACAATTCGGAAACATGCTTGTCCTCGCCTCAGTGTACAAGTCCAAACTCTATCCTCTTCTCCCAAGCGATACCTGGCTCACCAAATCCACACTCTCCGCCCTATTTAAGCGCACCATTAACGTCATTGAAGACGTTGCGCCAAACTCGCCCATCCTGCGCATGGACCTCGAAATCCTCAGGAATGTTCAGCGGCAACAGGGTCTGGAGTAAGATTACAGAGACTTGAGGAGTGGTTGTGGCCAGAGGGCAATGTTTCTTTAGTTTTGCTGGATTTAGTATAGGCCAAACTTAGCTCCTGGCGCCTGTTGTTTACTCATTGCACTACACAGAAGTCTTTGTGTTTAATTAGAACCTCAGACGAGCCCATGGTCCTTGTGAGAGAACAGTACACTTTGTCTATCCGCTGAATCAATAAGATCTACGGAAAACGGAAGAGAACTTGTAGGGTGATAGCTCAACATCTCACTATTGCTTGAAATTATGGACCTAGGCAACTATGTCAATCGTCAGGGGACTCTCGAAACGCACACCGAACTCCCACTACTCCTCGTTTGGATCCAGGCCAGTACCAACCTCGGATATGGGTCGCATATTTCCGTGAAGCCGTTGACGAGTGGCAGCATGGGGCTCTTCTTCAGTCGTTTCCATGAACTCTGTGCCCGGCTCATAAATTATGTACGCATCTAGGTTGTTCACGACCGCGTAGCCGTCTCTGGGTTGATATGTTCGACAAGGCCGGTGCGATAGTTCAGTGATTCAAGAGAATGTAAGCGGTACTTCTAGAAAGGTACTCAGTTGCTGGCCACAGCCCAACCTGCCAGAATCGGGTATTGAAAAACATGACTTCGCATCTCTTCGTGCACGAAGACCCCCCTGAGAGCCGACATTGCCTATGATTGAGACAAAGAAGGAGTGCATTTTTCATGATGAAATCATGCGTCTCACTAATCTCAAACTTGGCATACGGTCACTGCTCATAGAAACGGTTCTTTTTCTTTCTGCTTCTTACACTAATCTCCAAAGATGCATATCAGACTCAGTGACACTCCATTACCCCCAGAGAGAAGATGTTATCAAATCTGGAAGTGCTTCGTGGAGCTGCTTAGTCTGTAACAGGTAACCGATTACGAGTTGCTTCAGATCATTGTATGAAGTTGTTCTGCCTTCCCATTTCTCTGCTTTTGGATCAAAGAAGGTTCTTGTTTTCCATTTCCCTCGGCCCCGTTCACACAGACTTTCTGCATCCATTTTTTCAGATTTTTAAGTTCTGACGCAAGGTGCACAAGAGCAGACTCCCACGTACCCTTTGAACGTCCGAAGTGGATATTTGAAAGCGTAAGATGGTGTAGGGTATCACTAATCGAATTCAGGAAGGATAACAGGGAGTGTTGATCTGTTACAATCCGGAGCCTTAATTCCCCAATCTTCGACCACGGTTTACTCCTAGCCAGTGAGGTTAGCAATGCTTTAGGTGCATCATGCTGGTTGCCAATAGTCTCGTCAAATCGGAGATCACCTTCCTCCAAGTGACCAAAGGTCAGAGATAGCTTTCGAAGCTTTTGGCAACAACAGAGGAATTCCAGGAAAGGCCCTGTTACTCTAGAAAGGCCTCCGTCATGCACTTTCTCACTGACTGAGCAATCGAGGCTAGAGATGTCTCTCAGAGCCTCTTTCATGGTGTCGAATTGTTGATTGTATTGAGTCAGATTCAGTAGTTCCTGTCCCATGTGCTGTTCTGCAGCCCTGACGTCGTTGTGTCCATGACCCTGCTGGAGGCGTTTCAGGTAGAGTAGGATCCAGAACAATGGCCCTCGTGTATGGAAAGTAATGGATTGAAGTTTAGAGATATGTTTTCTGGCCGATACCATAACGCTGAGTGCGACTGCCAAGTTCAAGGCCTCTATATCGTCATCTTCTTGGCTTTCGTACTCATCATCTTGAAATTCACGGTGTTTTCCTGGCAAAACGTCGACCCAGCGATCATCCCAAATGGTTCCAGGCTTATGTTTGAAAGAAGTGAGTTTTGTGAATTTCCTGCAAGCTTCAGATAGTCTTCCGATGACGCCATCCTTGAACGAGAGCTGCTCGCAATGATCAGAGTTTGTGTGATATAATCTTCTCAACAAAGATTTCAAGTTATCCTGCGTTTTATTTCGCTTGTCTTTGTATTGTTCGTAGAGGCTTTCATGCTCGGCTCGCGTGTATCGTGACCAGCCTTCATATGCTAACCAACCACCGTCATAACCGGCCGAGTAATAGTGGAAGGGCTTCTTCTCTTCCACATCAACGAAAAATCCCATCCATTCGTTAAAATCTATTATTTCGGGCATTCTCCTTGGTCTCTTAAGTTGCAAGGTTCTTACATTCTCGGCCAAGTGTTTGGATGAAGCGATTTGGATCAACTTCTCCATGCCGGCCTCGCTGAGATCAAAGGTTACCGTTTCGAAGCAACAAAGCGTGGCGATAGGTAAAAGTTCATGATTTACAAGCCGGAGCTTTTCCCTATCTTGTTGATCCAGGAGCTGGATCACCATTACCCAAATCTCAGTGGGTAAATCGACGGAGTGATGCGTGTTTCTGCGGGTGGAGGCCATTGTACTTGCTTCGGTTCTCTTCCAGGAAACAAGATATATTGGCTTCTTATTCTACCGTGTATATGGAGTGCAATAAACAAACTGCGTACTCGAAGTGGTGTGTGACAGTGGGTTGTTGTCGTTGTCGTACTCAAGGACAGCGGGTGTCAACTCGTCGTTTGCGATGGAGATAAGGCCAATAGTGGGTTTAGAAGGCCAAAGAAAGTGCGGTTTGAGACGCGTGCTGTAGGAAAGTCGAATTGGGTCTCTTGTCCTAATTATCCTGCCATAAAGAGGCGCCGAGTCCCTGCTGAAACCTTACTGGTCTTGGAATAGTAGATTGAGATAGGACTAAGCGAATGGTATGTGAAATGATCCAAGTTGGAGCTTGATCCTTCGTATGCAGCACCCTGAAAAAGGATTAGTTGTGTCACAGATGCAATTAAACTGATATGCAGGGGTGCGGCATGGCATTGAGTGGCGTTCGCTTCAGTTGAGGGGCCCAAACTGCAGACAAGCTGATGCCACCACCGTAAGAAGGGCATGCGTAACATCACAGATGAAATGTAAGGCGTATGGGTTGTTGTGTATCAGGAGAATCTTGGCATTGCCACTCTTCATATCCTTTCTTTCAGCGAAGTGTGTTCCGAGCATCGCCTTGAAATATGTGGCTCCACGAGAAAACCACGGGTTTCGTCATGATTGTACGCGAGGTGGTTCACAGGACAGTAACTGGGAACACCGATCCAAAGGGCATCTGCAGGAAGGTGAGACTTCCCAAGTCAGTGCCCCTGCTGATGAGTCATTGTCATTGTCATCACAATCTTAGGATTTTGCAAAGGGATATTGTAGCCAGTGCTCTGTTGCAAGCTATGACCCTTTAGGATAAATGACAACATAGGAGCTCGAGTGCCTTCCCGGCCCGTTTGTGTCGGTTCTGTACCTCTCCATATCCCTGCTTGCGTAGATATTGAAGGCCCTGAATATCCTTGTACAATTATCTCAATTGGAATCAGGCTGGAATTAGCCTTGTTAAGGCAAACAAGGCAAACAAGGCGGAAATGATGTTTGACTCGGTCAAGGAAATGAAGCCTTCTACAGAGCATTGTGTGACCAATAGCATCAGATCCACGTCACAATTCTTGTAAGTAAAAGCGCCCCTGTCTCACTAGAGCAGAGCATTCCTATCTCGCATTCGTTGAGCGTTCGATAAAATCGTTGAGCAACGATGAGTCTATTGGTATGTAGATGCAACGAGTACGGTTCACTTGATGCCGCCACAAGGGGTCCGCTTTCAGACCTAGCAGACGAAGGTGATATTCTTCAATATGTATACGCTGCAAAAATCTAACTCCTAGTTGCTGTTCATCGCCCTACCATTGCATGATTTATTTACTTGCTTCATGGCCGAACTGCAACGTACTTTGTCATTCGACTGAACAGTCATTCCGTCTTTCCACTTAACCTAATCTACTTCCGACACTTAACACCAGTCTTACTATCGCACAATGACTAGGCCCCAAAACATTGAATACGGTCCGCAACCATGGGGTGAGAAAGAATGGTGTTCAATCATCATAACGGAGGAACATGTGGCTATCCACAAGGTAATAGAATGCTTAGGTCTGAAACTGGCAAATCAGCCTGGTCGCAAAATCAAATTTGAACACGAAGATTGCTCCACTCTGGCTAAGAAGGTAGCTGATCTATCGAGGGAACTGGCTTTGGATCTGCAAAAGAAACCAAATACGTCATCTGAAACGTCGAATCTTTTGTTTGCTTTTGCGAAGAAGCAATCTTCTCTTAAAAATGAGCTCGAGAATTTGCTAAAGGAGCACGGTTCCCGGATTTGGGGCGAAAGTGTAGCTCGAAGTCACTTACTGGAGCCCGATCCGAGCACAAAATACACAGGAGATTTGTTTTACGAAAATGAAGGCCATAAAAACATGTAAGTATTACCTCTGGATTTGCGTAACATGTACACGTTCGCTGAGCTTTTGACAGTCTAGAAGAAAACATCCGCCGATGGATCATTTTAAAGACTTTTAACGCTATCAAAGGCGCGAAAAAGTCCAAGAAGCGAGATAACGATAAACAGATTACTGGTGGCAATAATGAGGGTCTTGTAAGTTACTTCCACGTCTGCATTGTCACCTACTTACTCTATTGGACATTCATTCTTTTACTAATGTCAAGGCTAACAAACTGAAGAAGCGGCAGATTAGCACCGTTTTAGCTAATCCTAATAATGATGGGAGATACTTGACAGCGGTAAAATGGCCGAGAACATTTTCAAGTACGCAGATGTCGACTCCAGGAAGCTCTGCCGCTGCCCGCACCGGAGGATTTACCGCAGTCAACTCCCTGCTATTTGCTGGAGAGACACCCAAAGACCAATTGCGGAAAGCTGCGTCGGGTTCTTCCCAGGAACTCCAGCGATGTATCTCTGGAAGTGTTTGTTGTCACAGCGATGGCTACAGTCATTCATGTGGACTCTGTCCGCCTGGTGCAGCGCCATCCCTGCCTGCCACTGACTCTCCACGCTCCGCAATACCAGCACCATATAAATCTGCTCCCGTAAACTACAGTTTGCCGCCATCTGCTTCGACCTGCTTCACGGATGGCGGATCAAGATATTCAAAGAACCACCCTCTAATTCACCAAGCTCAACACTCCCACACTACACAGACACAGTCACTACCACAAGGTGTACAGCAACAAATACTCCAAATCAGTCGACCGCATGACCGCCAGCAGATCCTGCCTCCATCTCATCCGCAATTTCAACACCAGCAGCCTGCACCTCTATCGCCTAATCCATATAACCCTTTAGTCTGTCACTTTGGACATTCTCTTGCGCCCCATCTCTGTAGTAAATTCAGCACCCCTCTTATGCACGCCGCAACTAATCAGCCAACTACGGCACTTGATTCGCAGCCAAAAAGTCCACCTTTTCTACATGATGCGGCCGCCTATAGTCCACAGCCGATTCCAATTCATGAAGCACCTCATCTCGCTCCAGCCATTTCCCGACAACAGGGCCCCCACCAGGATCTCTGTCTCCTACAAAGCAAAGCCACTGCTGGCCTTTCAGAACTTTTCTTCCCTCGGCATTCAATGCCTCCAGACGAATTAGCGCTCATCCGACTGCTACACTCACTCTGGTTCCACTGCGAGTCGCTGTTCCGCAGTGAGCTCGCCACTCACTACGGCCTCGTTTCCGAGATCCTGAATGCCTGGCTCCGCGAACGAGAAGCTATCGTTACATTACGCCACTCGATGGCTGCCAACCCGAGCGTCCCGAAAGCAGGGTTAGTTGATCGCATACTGGTGATGAACGAACTCCGGGCAATGCGACTCAGGTGGAAAAACATGAGTCCCATTGATGGCATGAGTCCGGAAGACCTGCTCTGCATGGCCTTCAAGGTCATAACTAACACTGAGGGAAGCGAGTATCTGTTCAAGGACGGGCTTGCAAAGCTGGAGCTTAGTGTGCTTGAGTTTCTAAGCAGCGATGATAACAAAATTATCTTGCAGAGGTTGGACACGAGAGCTATATAATTGAGCAGCAATGGCAATAACCCTGCTTCTACATAAGATTTACAACATGAATAACGCAATTTGCCATTTTCTTACGACTCTCTCTTTTGTTATATACATCTTTGTTGGATAATGGATTCTTTGGCTAACTATGATAGCGCGGGAGCGCGAGCATATAGGTGAAGAATTCGGTGGCTGGGCCCAGCCACCCAACGCATTACCTTCACCATTAGTATTTAACAATATCTTTATTCCAGATATACTAATGCACCCCAGCAAAACGTGGGTGGATGGTTTTTGTGCTGGCGTGAGCCGCTTGGCAATCTGTAACAAAACAGCATAGCATGTTTTCGCAACGACCATAAAAAAATTTGGCAGATACTAGCACTTTGAATACGTTTTGAACAATGGATAGTATTAGATTATGCATGATGTACGGGAAACCTCCACATGGCGTGTGTGTATTGATGGGGGATGTGTTTTACAATTGTCGAAGAGGTAATACTCAGAGAATGAGTTTTTTACATACAGGATTCTGGTTGTTAACAAAATTGAATATTTAGCACTAGAATGCCCACACGAATTGATGAAGATGTGGCGCAGAGAATCTAGAAGCTTGTCGTTAGCGACCACAAGTTTTGATTAATGCATCACTTCTTCCAAGACCCTGATATCTATATTTATATCACTGTCACACATAAAACCCAGATAAACCTAGTCTTTGTTTCGAAGACAATAGCAGGTAGTCTAAACTTTATTCAAAAACCAAGTTCGCTTGACCGGAGGAATCGAGGTGGGATTGGAGACAATTAGCTTTACCTTATTCTGTTACAAGTAGAGGCATCAGTTCTCCGCAGGAAGTGAGGGCTTCTAAGTACCTTATACATACCCATTTTCTAGGCTGATCACACAGAGAGAACAACCATGATAAGGCGTAAGGGGGGGGGGGTCGCAACGTAGGCAAGGAGTCTAAACTCCACAGCTTGGCTAGGATCAACCATCCTTACGCCTACCCCACAACAACCAAGACCTCAAGCCGCACATGCCACCTGCCTCTGCACATCCTGAAACATCCTGGGTTTTTCATGCTAACTGAGATAACAAGTAGTCCGTCTTCGATGATGACTAGCCATCAATCAACAGAGATATCTCCGGGGTGTAGGGAGGTTCTTCCACTGCCCACTCTTTCATAGCTCTTCCAAGACACGACTCTCATGAGATCCTTTGTGGTGTTTTGTCTTTTTATTTTCACCTTGGCCTCGTCGAAGGCTGCCAACACTCAGCAAGCATCACATGCTGATTTTTAACTTTATATACTGTGTGATAAGCGTGCGCCAATACATCAGAGGCTTTGATGATATTTCACGATTGTCTGCTATTTTTCGTGTTTGTCAGATGCTTAGTCTCTATCACGATTTGAACCGCTAATCCCAACTCAATTTTCTCTTTAACAGTCAGTTAGATCCACAAAACAGTGGCGTATCTTTTCCCAATACACCGCCTAGCAGGGGCTTGGTGTTGTTCTCTTGTCGCCCTCGCGGGAGCAATGGAATCCCACGTCCACGTTCTTGTGAACACTAGCTAGGTAGTCTGTAATACGATCTTCTCTCAACCTGCAGTCATCGCCCTAGTGTCTTGGAGATTGAGTGGCCTTTTAAACTGTACATAACGAAGTTGAAGCGAAGACAATTCGCTCTATTACAGAGCAGGCGATGCATCCATGCCATACTCTACACGTCTCTGGAACATCCATGAACAACAAAGTCAGAGTGAAGGTAGAGCACAGTTTTCGTAGCACATTCCGTGATCATCGCGAAGTAAGCTTGAGCCTATTTTATAATATTGAAGTATACGTAGCTACATCGATATCTAAACAAGGTTTGGGGCATGGCAGGTAGCAGAGATGCTACCTAGTGACGCAAGAGCATCTGCTTGAGACTATTGGTGTATCTAGAGGTTCCGCACTCGACCCAGCATCTCAAGAACGCGGTCTTTGAAATGCCCTTTCCCCCACTCAGTTATCCGGCCTAGACAATTAACAAGCTCCTCAGCGTGGCCTCTTATCGTGGTGCGCCATATCTTAAGATTAACCATGTGGAAACCGTCCTCGCGCCTGAAGTGCACCCATAGTTCGTGCACAGGTCCTTCAGTGACGACGGAGAAACATAACACCGGCACTAGAGGCAGATCTGCTGCCGTTGTCAACGGCGGTGCTTGAAGGTTGGTGCCGCGTGCTGCCTGGTAAGCCAGATCCTCCAGGATCGTCAACATACAGGCACCGCCAACAGCAGCCTGGTTTTGCGCCTTGGAGAGAGGAGCGATTGACTTTAGCTCTGCAATCATAAACGGAAACCGCATTCCCATCACAGCCGCATGAGGATCGCTCAAGATCAACTCGCGATCCTGGTAATCAATGAGCAGTCGCTGATGCTCTCGCGTGAATGCCTTGTGTGTGAGTCCCATCGTAATGTCTGGTTTTGGTGTCAATATGTCTGATGAGCTCTTCACATTCGTCCTAGCCGTTGACATAACTGAGTTGGAGTGTGAACATAGCGACATTGACTCAGAAGGGTCGAGGTCCGTGACCATAACAACACTGGCATCGATGCCAGGGGAATCGGTATGTGTTGGCTCCTTGGCTTCGTTCCGCGACTTGTCAAGTGATGATAGCCTTCCTATGAGCTGTGGATTCCAAACTATAACATAAAGTCAGTATTTCACTCAACGCGTTCTTGAGCAGGCATAGTAAGCTCACGTTTCTCGGACACGTTTGTTTCTAGCACACCTCCCGACAGTTCGGCCATGGTGCTCACAAGCTGATAGAGGTTACATTGCCAGTCGCCCTCGAGCGCACACTTGCTAGCGCTGTTCCTTGACTGGCTCCAGAATGTTTCTGCTAGATCAAGGAAACGTCGCTGCGATCCAAGCTGGTCTGGGATTGGCACTCGGTCTTCCCAAGACGTGGTACCAAGAACATGACGTACATACTCATCAACTTGAGGTGGAAGTTCAACTGCTTGATCAACATAAATACATGCAGATTGCATATTTTGTTGTCTATAGGCTTGCGGAGCGACTGTCTTGGTGGCCTTAGTAGCCTTGGTATATGGCGTACGTCTCTGATGTTTAGAGCTGTGATGAGTGCTAGAGGTCGTGCTCCGGGGTGTTGGAGCCATTAGTGGTTCGTATATAAGTCCGATGCCGTCAAGCCAGCGCCTGATAGATGCTGAAGTTTGCTCACCGGAATACTGGAAGGTGTGTGTAGAAGTGCGTGTAGAGGAGATGTGCTCGAGGCTTTGTTGGTCAACAGAGCACAATGCCTGCTTGGGCAAAGTTGGTATTGGTGACGGTGGCTTCCTTGTTGGTATACACATGCTAGATGCATCACCGCTGCCTCCAGCATGGCGGTTGAGCGCCTTCCCAGTATCACTGTCAAACGCTGGTCGCTTCATTGTTTGTAGAGTGTAGTGGCTTCGAGATGCGGCTGTGCAGGCCGGGTCTGAGTAATGGTTATCTTCTGCCTCGCAGTAATGTTAGTACATGCACGATTTCATATAGTGCTAAACCATAGGACAGCGCAGGAAGCTGCAATGAACTCACCGTGGCAGGGCAGCTGGTAGGATACCTGTTGCCATTTCGCGAAATCATCTAGCCACGCAGACAAAATACCTTCTCTAAGCATTGAATATCGGTGGACGGCAGATTGGTGGACGTGATGCGGGCTGGTCGACTAGTAGTAGCTACCGCGGTTGGATGGTGAAGGTGCCAAACTTTGGCACTGAGTGCAGCCATAGCCCACAGCGTAATCGAACGCACTAGAACCGCGACTAGCTATCGAGGTAAGCGCACGCTGGGAAGGGGCTGTTGGTGGTGGTAGGAGAGGAAGGCTTGAGGTGGTGACAGCCTTCTATGCTGGAAGGTAAGACAAAGAGCCGTTTATTGCGGTAAGAAGCAACCCTAGATCTTCTGTCTAGCAAGTGCATTGTAAATTCACGTGCTACTCGAAGGGGGTGAACCTGACCGAGGGAAAGGCAGACTTGCTAAGAGTAATTGTACTAGTTAAGTCACAACTCTGAACCTAATTGGATAGATGGTAGGGGGTAAGGGAGGCGGATAGTAGGACTCTCTTGACTGAAATTATTCTCGGCTTGGGCGATGTTTGATCACGGCGTTGATAAATCGAATGTAGATAAAGTGAAAATTACTAGATAGTAGTAGTACCACTAGGGCAAGCGAGGCGATAAGTCACGTGCAATGCGATTTCGCGGTACAGAGCGTCCGTACTCTCCATCGCGAGCATGCACAATAAGACTCTCAAGATCTGGCCGCATCTCTTTAGTGCAATTTGGTTTGGCATCAATACAACCCGCTTCGCTATTCTCCACCAGGAGCCGCTGACCCGCGACGCTGTAGGTGGGCTGCTATACCTGGCGGCTAC